TACAGCAAGAAAACACAACGAAAATACAGAGAATTATTGATCAAAGAAACCCTCCACATCAAACAGCACTCTCCAACACTGTACAACATGCAGTCTTCATTTAAATTATACATTTTTTAATATGTTCGTATTACTGATTTTACTTTTTTTTCCCGTTGTGTTTTCTTGCTGTAGTTTCTCCCCACGATTACTGTTTAGTGTTTATTTGTTTAATTATTGTTATATTTAGCAACTGTACTTTGACAATGTATAAAGACTTATGTAAATTCATTTTATTGAAGATAAAGATGGAATCTGATAGAATTCTGAAACGTTTATCCATGTCCCCTTTTTGTCAATAAACAATGTTGTATATCATAAGTGTCGCAATTTTGTTTATTATCGAATAAAAACTCATTATAAAGTTTAAACTACTATGTTTGTAAAGGTAGTTCACAGTTGTGTTATGTCTATGCATAGGGGCTTGATTTTGACAATGGGGAGCAAGTTTTGCCCGAAAATATAAAATCGACCTTAAAATCATGTACTATAATGTTTCAAGTCACTTGAAAAAAATGGTTCCAATGACTTTCATGTGGAACCAAACGGTGCTAAAGGGTTAAAAATGTGCAAGTGAAAATGTCACGTGTGGGTAATATATTTTCTGAAAAGGCATAATCAATTTGCAAGTATAAAAATTATAGATAAGTACGGAGCTTTTGCCTAAATATTTTGGGTGATTTTTGCCTGAAAAACTATTTGGGTCAAAATTTGGGAGCAATTGCCTTTCAACACAGCTACTCCAGTCATAACAATAAAAAATAATGTATGATAATAATTGCTACTTACTGAGAGGAATTCATATTAAACAACAGTACAGTAAGAATTTACAACTTACCTAAAGCACCAAGTCCTGCAGCTCGACAGTTGGCAAGAAGGAGACCTTGTTCTGTTTCTATCAGAGCAAGCAATACTTCAAAAGCTTCCATGGTCTGTTCACTGCAGGAGATTGCCAGTTGAAGAGCTGTGTTGTTGGACTCGTATTTCCCCAACAGTACACTCATTCGGTCACACTGACCCCGGCTCTCTTCTAGAGTGATAGTCAGTAGGTCATTCTGGGACTTTAGGTGTTCAATCTTGCTGTTTAGCCTTTCCAGCTCGACCTCAAACTCCCGAACTTTAGATTCAGGGATAGCCGAGCCCGCAGAGAACACGGACTGGAAAATTTCTTGAGTATGAGAATCTTCTTGAAGGTGGTGGACTAGATGTTCTGCTATTTTTGTTGTAGATACCTGGAAAGTTATAATGTTACAAAATGTACTATCAAGTGACTTGCACTTTAAGTCAACATTAAGATAGTGAATGTTACATTTCTATCAGTTTTGTGAAGGAAAACTTTAGAAAATACATACTTATCTGTTGTATAAAGCAACATTTTCTTAGTTAAAGATAAAACAGCTTTTCACATGTGAACTTTTCAAAATATTTCATCTTAGTAAACTTGTAAAATGTAGAAAAAAACATGAAAAAAATCAGCAAAGTTACAATTTTCAACATAAAGAAGAAAAAATATAAAACATTCCAATTACAATACTCAATAAAAGAATAGTCAATATCTAATATCAAGATACTGAAAATAATACAAGAATGTTTTTTCTCCCAAACAAGTGGTTTATTTCATAACATGTACTAAAAATCTTCATGACTTATAAACTTAATATTATAAATAAATGTACAATGATCAACAAAGAATATCACGTGAACAACTACTTACTCCTAATGTGGAGATTTGTGATCCAAGTATCTGACTGTCACCACGCTCCATTTTCTTAAGTCGTACCCTTTCTGCCCTTTTAGCAACAGGGACTTCTTCTCTGGAAGTGGGAGTTCTTTCTCCAGTTGTAGGATTAATGCTTGAAGACTTATTTAGTGTTGGGGAGCTACCTGTCCGTGAACTCTGAGACTGTAAGTATACTAGCTTCACCTGCATGTCTCGAAGCTGTAAAATACATATATTTTTCAATATTGAAGTGGTTCTGAACAACAGTTATTCCAAATTTAAATGCCCTTTCATGACCATACATACACACACACACATATACACATAATTTTTAGGTTGTAATATCAGTGTGAAAAAGCTTTTCCTCATAATCTATATGACTGTTTAGAAATGATTTAGTTATTGGTGTATATTTTGTGTCTATACTAAACCCACATTTTTTTTTAGAGCTAGAGAGTTCACCTCGCAATTGTATTTTGCAGCAACATTTACACTGTTAATAGCACAGAATACCATGTGGTTTCATTATTTTTCCTAACATTTTAATTTATTTTTCACAAACATACTCATTTCAGAAGTCTCTTCCCATGGAGCTTTCCCTATTTTGATCATCATATTATACTGGTTGAAAAATTAAAATACTAATACCATTTCATTCACACGTTGGTGGAATGGGATGGGGGAAAGCATGACCTATTGTTAGTGCTTTGATCTCGTAGACAAAAGATTGAGGGTTCGAGGCTGTCCCTTGAGTAAGATACTGTGCCTCAATTACTTTAGTCTACCCAGCTGCAGGTAGTTGGGAGTTAGCTTGTGTTTTACTGGTATCCCAACCAGAGGGAATGTGTTACCATTCTCATCTGTGCATGCCAGAGAAAACAGAAGTCAAATACTGGCTTTATGTGTCTTTTGAGGCACAACAAGAATTAACTTACTTAAACATATTTTAGTAATGAAAACTTCAGAAATTTTACATATAAAATTTATCAAATTACACTGAAACTGCATGGATTATATAGGGTTACCCAACATGGGGATAAAATAACAAAATTTATATCTTTCTAAGCTACTATTCAAGATAAGTACCAGTACAGCTAGAAGTACTAAAAATGGTGTTTCCCCAAAAGTGCTCGGTAGACAGTAACCCTCATTGAATCTAACACTGGATGGGATTTCCTTATTTTACTTTTTAAGGTTAGATGTAGATTCAGTGTTTTGTTTAGTTATTGAAAAGCTTAACTTAAAAAAAAATAATAATGTTTTGATCTAACCGTCACCACAGAGTTAATTGCTTTAAGTTCTAAATCTAGAGCTAAGAAGAAGAAGAATTTTACCAGTTCTGACCGTAAAATATTTGTGGTAGGTTTCATGCCCTTCGTTTGAATTTTCCTTATTTTATCATTTTAATGCACACCATTTAAGCTACACTCTCTTACAGGCATTATGTGTTAGATCAATAAATGCTGGGCTATTTGAAATGTTTAACATAGTCAGACAAACAAACACGTGTACAAGTAACTTTATTTAATAAAACTATACGTAAACATAAAAGTATAATAATGGTACTTATAATAGTGTAAAGAGTATTAACAGGTTATGAGCATTCAGTGTATGACATAGTTTCACAAGTTGAAACAAAGAAACTCATAAAAATGAAGAATAAAACCCTTACTAGGGAAAAAAGTAGCTAAAAGATGTTTATAGCAGTCTTTGAAATGAATCGAAGCTAAATTATCGGAAAGTAAAGTAAATGTAAAGTTATAATATTATAAAGGCAAACTTAGCTGACTATGCAGAAACATCTGAATGCATCTTCACAAAGTGATAAGCATGTGGTTTTGAACAAACTGCATATGTGTATTTTACACCTAAATAGATCGAGAAAGGCCACAGAAATTGTATTTAGTGTAATGTTCATGTTTTTTTTAGAAAATTACACATGGGTTAAGAGATGTTTGTGTGAAATATGTTTTAAATAAAAAACTAAAGTTGAACTCGAAGTCAGTCATCACATGATGACAACAATGTTTTGCTATCATGTACCATACTCGTTACATTAAAACATTTGACTAAGCAAAAAACAAGCAAGATAATTCTGAATTTAAAAGCCAATATGCAATCCGGACTCCTTGGAAAAAGGCCTTTCTAATTATATGAGAATTGTAGCATTTCATTAAGAAATTTGTGAAAAAAGTTCTGGACAGACAAACAGATGAACACAAACGTATTATTTATATAGATGTTACAATACGGATTTCTTGTTTCTCAGTTACTGTAAGAATAAGTGATGTTACCTCAATATTTTCAATACCTCAAACATTATCTCACATGTTGTCTATATTTATATATTACACAATCCAAAATCTAACCATGCACTTGTTTAATCTTTAAGCTGCTTATATTTCACACAAATGTCCCTTTTTTTTATAGGAATACCTTTAACTAAAGCTGCTGTAGGTGTTATCTTAAATACAAAACATTAGTCAGAATACTTATAAAAATTACACATTTAAAACTTGCCAGCAAGAACAAATAGTGTTATTACGTTCAAAAAGTGAAATATTATTCACGGCATCTCACTGTCAATGAACTCATCAGGACAGCATTCAAGACTTCTGTTCCTTTTTATTATATATATATATAAATATATATATATATATAATAGATGCAACATTTCTTTAATGTACTCAGTAACTCACAATCTGCCAGATAG